AGGTTGAGGAGGTGGACACACGCATTGTTTCTTTGTATTTTACTTAAGCTGATGAAAAATATTTCAAAGCGATAAATCATTATGACGTTATAAATAATTTTTCATCTCCTTTGGTGGTCTGTGAGGTTTACATAAATGGAGGGTTAAAAACCTTTTTTTTGTTTCTTTGTTCTTCCCGTGTCATTAATGTGGAAGGAGAACATAAAAAAGTGCAGCCAGAAGGGGTTTAACTGTTACTGAGTCAACATTTGACAGTCACACTCTATTCTGTCATTTCATGCATGTGCTTTTTATAGCTTTGTGAGCTTTATTTCAGGGATGTCCATTATGATAGCTGATCCACAGCCCATCTCCCCCTTTGTGTATGTGTGTCTGATGGGGAGCAAAATTTGTCACTTATACAAATCCCGATTTCAAGGAGTAATAGAAGAACCATCAACTTATGAACTGTTTAATTCAGGCTAAGGAAACACCTACTTCTTCTAAAGTGCTGTTTGTGTAGGGTTTTTAGTTTGTTTTGTCTTGACTGCTCTATTAAGTATTAACAAAAGGCATGCATTTGAAGCTTTAAAAACATGTTGAATTTTTAGTTTTTTTCTGTATAGGTTGAAGTAATGGAATAGAAGAAATTTTCAATTTAAATATGTAGTAGACTTATGTTATGGAGCTGTAAACCATCATGCCTGAGCATCAAATGGAAAATAAAAAAAATATTAAATACACTGTCATAGATGATAGACAAGAAGAAAGAAAAAAATCTTAACAATTTTTAGAGTTGTTACCAAGATTCTCCTTTTTAATGCATGAGTCCACTACTTGGCCATTAAGAGTAGAGTATCATAACTATGGCAGGGCACTGAATACTCATATTGAAGTATTTATTCCTGTAATCCTGTAATTTTTACATGTTAGGAAGAATCTTGATCTTTTCAGTTTCCCTCATTGACTTTTTTACCTAATAGTAAAAGTGTATCTTTCTTAATTTTTTAAAACTAATGAAAATCTATCATATATTTAAACCCCATTTTATAAATTAGGCTTGGGATTCTGGGAGGTTAATTGATTTGTCTAAACTAATGCAGCTGATATATATGGCAGAGTTTGGTAAAAGCACGACGTTGCTGATACCCAAACTTATTATTTTCTATATGGGTTATTTTCTGTATTTTCAAATATGTCTTATTCCCATTAATCCCTGTGGCCTCTGCCATTCTGAATGTTGTTGGCTTAGAAAGTAAAAATCTTTACTGACCATTTCTAATCAACTCATTGACCACACCTCTTTAGATATTCCTTGGCTGTCCTTGTTGATTCCCACCATAGCCTGGTGTCATTTGCAAACAATACATGTACTGTTTTCCATTATGCAAGTTGCTGGATAAGTCACAGGACCCAAGATCAGCTGCCAAATTCCCTAAGTGGATATTAACACATCAATAATAACTCTTTGAATGTTGACTTTTCGAGTTATTCATTTAACCCCAAGAAATTATATAGTCTAAAACTTTCTTTTCTTCTGTGGATGAGGTACAATTCACTGGGATCTGTGTACAAGTCAGTATAGGATCAGAAAATTTTTTCAAGTAAAAACAGCCTTTACCTAATGTTTCCCCTTGACCTTAGGAAACCTACATCATTGTGTAAGTTTTGATTAGCCAGATAAGAATCTAGTTGTTATCCAATTGCTAGTGTTCACTCAAGAGAGGAAGCATACAGGTCATCTTGTTTGGTCCTTATTTATAAATCCTCAAGACTATATCATTTTGACTGCTTTGTAGTAATTACTCTGTTTGAGCCTTCTATGCCGAGATTATTCAGAGCAGTTCAGAATTTTGGCAAGTATTTCAGTTTTGATTTTTGTTTTATATCTAACAGAAAAATGTTAGAGGAGCGAAGACCAATGAATCTTGTTGATTTCAGATTAGCATTTGGATGGTATTGAGAGGGCAGTCTAGTGTAAGCGCTATACTAGATTTGTGTCCCAAAACACTGATCTGAAAATGGGGTTCTCCTTCTCTGTACAAATTATTGACTAATGTGGTTTTAATGGAGCCAGTTAGAACTAAGAGTTCTCTAAGTACTCTAAGAACTAAGAGTATGTTTGGTAAAAATTGTTACCTGTGCCCATCAACATATTTTCCTGTTTTCCCAAAGTCAATTTCTTTGGTGTTTACCATTTTCAACATCCTCCTGTATATCCCCTTCCTACCTGATATAGACTACCCTCATTTTGTTTCAGCTGCCGCTATTTAGAAAGGATTAATTTGATTATAAGAACTTTGAGAATCAAAATATTACCTTTTCCCGTAATATTTGCACATTTGAAAAGAGGCTTTTGGAAAGGGAAATATTTAATCCTTTGGTTGAGTTTTAGATATGATAGTGCATAGGTAGACTCAGGAAGGGGGTAACCCAGAATGGGTGGGATTGAAAGGAGTAAGAGGAGAGGAATCGTCCCAGTGTACCAGCATTTGTGCTTTATACCATCTGGCTGATTCTCTCTCCTCCTTCAGGCCTAAATAAATTTAATTTAAACTTTGACAACTATTCTTAAATCAAACTTATTCTTTTGGTGGTTCAGTATATTACCTAGACTCCTATCCACATGTAGATTTATATCTACCTCTACACATAAGAACTAAATATAAACTTGTACTACAAGATCAATTTTTATATGGAATTATAGTATAATTATTTACCAAATAACCACTATATTCATATATGTCATATATTTAGCATATATAATCACTTGGGTTTTATTATGTCCCCCTTACCTCAATTCTTTTATGATATTCTAAATTTATTGTCAGTGAGGGTTTCTAAAATGTGGCAATGTTACCATTTTGATTTATATGCTGTTGTAAGGCGTTTTAATTAAAAACACCCCATACATGCTCTGATTCCTCTAATCACCTCTCATTTCCCCTGTTCACATGTCTGAGAATTAGCTTAAGTGGCTATACAAAGGGTCACAAAGAAAAAAAAAATGCAAGCATCCTATCATGTTACTTCCACTATCTCCCACTGACATCCTCTTGAGAAGTATTGTAAATTCTACTTTTGGGTAATAATTGAATCATTTTATTATACTATGTGCTTTGTAAATAGGTGATTATTGTAAAAACTTGTTGAGACTTTCCTACTCATCATTTGCTAACTTTAGCCTGTGGCAAGATGGTACAAGACCCATACAAGTCACTTAACATTTCATTCTTTTCTTACCTTAATCGCATTCATTTTGCTTTCTGTTCTTGCAAGACTTTATTTCAGAATAAGAAAACTCACTAGAAAATATGAAGTATTACTGTCCTATTCACTGTTTAATCAAAACATGAGAGGTGATCCATAGCCAGTGTATTCCCCAAAGATAGTACAGTAAAGTCTTCATTGACCTGGGGACTATCATAGCCTGTTGATGGAGTGTGTTTTTTGAAATGTTTCTGTCTTCTACTTTAACAGCTACATTTACTATAAAGAGAGTCTGTCAAGCTGGTGTCCGTGGTGCTCCTGAGCACAGCTGAATGTACACAGGAGACTCTCAGCAAAAGAAATGCAGAACATATAAAGCACCTGAAAATACCAATTTCACACACAAAACAAATTAGGTTAGGCTCTACATTTTTAGATATATAATTTATTTCAACATTATACTAGATAATCCCACAGAATTAAAATTGATAGAATTATTTTGTTCCCACTTTCCCTACTGTGTTTTATAGCGATTGACAATTAAAAATATTTTCCTATTAAATCATGTACAGAATTTGATAAATACAGAACGGGAGTGCCAAGGCCATTTAGGAGTTTTTTTTTTTATCTAATATGTACAACTGTAATACTGTCAGATTTTGTTGAGCTAAAGCAGGTACTGTATTACAAATTTCAATACCCTATTGGTTCTTGGCGGGAACATTAGTTTACCTGTAATACAATTATCCTAAATAATTGTTCATTTCTTGTGAATATTTTATTGTGCCAGTAACTGCTCCACAGTGTATGTGGTTCACTTGTTCAGTTCATGACCGCGTCCCTCAGTAAATGAGGTGAATAATTATAAAGCAATATGAGCAAATTTTATGAAATCCAAAAGATGCTTTTCTTAAAACCGTTTTGGAACTACATCATCCTCAAAGCAATGATGGAGAGTGCTAGAGAAAGTTTGTAATCCTTTCACTGCATCCTTTTTCTATTCTTAAAATCATCCAATTATTTAATTTGGACATAGTTTAATATTTCTTGTGGTTTAGATGAACCATTATATTTTCTTAAAAAATAATTTAGTTTGTAATGTAATGTTCTCCATGAATTCAAATCATGCACTGCATGCTTTTAAATGACTTGATGTCTGAAGATCTAATTTTGGTATATTTGTATCTCAAATAATTCGCCAACTCAATATTTTGGCTTAGCAATCCAAATCAAATTGTGGTCCAAGTAGGAGGCACTCACACTGAATGTACAGAGACTTGACAAGCAATTAGCAATGAATATTTAAACGTCTTCATTACCCTTGCATGAGGAATGCAGATGGCATTTAAGGAGATGGCAACCAGAGGGCACTACTGTGAATTATGTTTCTATCAGTTGGTCACCTGACTCTTGGAAGGATTTCTCTGGGCCCCATGCCACTTCTGTACTGTCTGTCTAAAAATAAAGCAGGCATTCCAAATGTTGTAAAACAGGTTGCTTCCATGAAATTTCTGTGTACATTTTGTGATTTGGGAAGGTGGTCACCAGGATCCCATCATACGAGTATATCCTTTAGGCGCACCAAACCCAAATGCCAAGACTGTAAAGGAGATTCTTAGAATCAGAGGTCCTTCAAAACACCTGCTGATCATTTGCTTCAATTACGTAATGTGCTGAATGTGCAAAGGTGAAGAAATCAACATCCCATCCCTTCCAGAAGCTGATGTATTATCTATGACCCAAGGGAAAAAAAAGTCTTTGAATAATTATAATTTCCAGATTCAGCTCTCAATATATTTTTTTTTTTTCAGGAAAAAACAACACTGGAGAGTCTGACTCAGCAACTAGCAGTTAAACAGAATGAAGAAGGAAAATTTAGCCATGCCATGATGGATTTTAATATGAGTGGAGACTCTGATGGTTTGTGAAAATTGTTCATATATATTTCAGTAATATACAGAAGTGTCTATTTAGTGCCAATTAAAACTACTAAAAATATATATTTCAGGGCGGCCACCTCATACCTGATCATTTCCATAAGAGCTCACATGTACGGAGCAGTTCCCATGTGCCAGGCACTCTGCTGAGCACTTTACATCAATCATCTCATGAATCCCTACATCACCTGTGGGATAAGTTGTATTACAGATAGAGAGCCCTTTGGGATTTTGAATCATGTTTTCCAAGGTTACAGGGCTGTAAGTGCTGGAGGCAGGTCGTGGATTCAAGATGGCATGATTCTAAAGCAAATACTCTCTTTTTATTTTTATTTTTATTTTTTGCTTAGGGGGTGGCGCAAGGGGCAGAGGGGACATGAGGAGCAGGGGGAAGCAAATACTCTCAATCACCATCTACCCGGTCTCTTTCTTCCCTATTTCTTGAAACTGAAACAAACTTTTCAGAAATTTGTTTGTATAAGCTCATTTTCCAGTTCTCTTTTCTCAAACCCTGGCCAGAATACATGGCTCAGAAGGGATTTTTAGGATAGTTTCTTGCATTTTGTAACCCTTCCCTCTTATACTATCTACCACACAGCCAGGGGTCCTGCCTGCCCTCTGTAACCCAACTATAACTCCAGCTGTGCAGCCTCTTGCTTTCCTCATATGCCTCAAGACTTCTGTTGTCTGCATCATCTCTGAACATTCTAAACATCCACAGTGACAACTAATTAAGTTGCTACTCTAATTTTAATAGCACAAAAAAGAGGGAAAAAGAAGAAAGCACTATTCCTCTTATGCAGAGCCCAACTTGAAATCTCTCTCCAGATGACATACATGATTTTAAGAGCAGTGTCCTCCAATGTGTCACTATTGCAGAGGAAGTTGCCTGCATCCGGGAAAACCAGTGAGAAGCGTATGTTAGGACAGAGGGATTCCCTTGAATCTCCAGCAAGTTCTACTGCGTGCCTTGGACCAGTTCTACTTTTAAGTCCAGGACAGCACTAGCCAAGGGACTAGCCAAACTTGAGCATTTAACCAGATACTTCTATGAAAACCAAGCTTTATTCCGTGGATATCCAAGAAAAGTCTGTTTTTCTGGTCTATTGTATCCAAACATTTCTTTCTATTTTCTCCTTCACTTGGGTAAGATAAACCTGGCCTAACTACATAGAAAGAGCTTGTTTAGCTTTGATGAAGTCACATAATGTTCATTTTATTGCTTGTGCTGCTGTAAGGTGTAAGAGCAAGAAAAGGCAGATGTGCAAATGATCATTTGCTACTTACAAACCCATTTTAGAAAGATGTTGCCATATATTAGTACTCATTTTTGTCAATAAAAAGACATTTACTGGTAATCACACATTTCATAAATTTTAAGTTGCATTAGCATTGTAAAATATACCCGTAGTAATCAACATTAAAACATCAAAATTTTTTTGCTATTATTTGTTATATTCAGTCATACTTGTGTGCAAAATATTTTCCAATCTTCATCAGACCAAAGAGCATATAATGAATGAGAAATAATGAGAAACTCCACCAACACATAGGCTATGTTTTTTGTTTGTTGCTATAGAAATCTTCAAGTCTGGGTAATTTTGGTGGATTCCTATTCCTTCAAATTAAGAAGAGAAAAGAAGAACAGTATGAAGGAAGAAACACACTGCTTTTATTGATACTATATGCTCTAAAAACCCAAAATTATTTTAAAATTTTATATGGTACCAAAATACCTCTCTTCCATCTTTTGTAATGATAACCCTAGAGAACTTTCTGTCAACATTTTGTTTTCTTCTGCTTCTATCTCTCTTCTCACCCCCTGCCCCCCAAACTCATGTACCTCTGGAAGCTGCTTCATCTGCTGAAGCTATTCTACAAAGTCACACAAAGCCTAGAGGAGTGACTGCAGCTCCCTACAGTTCCACTGTGACTCTTGGTTGTGTTTTATCATCATGAGTCTTGCTGATTGGAATGTAACTTTCAGTGGGTCTCTAGAGAACTTAGACATTAGGGCAAAATTCAGAGGAATGAATATATATATATATTTTTTTCACCTTAAATATGTGGTTGTTGACTTTTTAAAAAATCATAATAATATAACTATTCATTTGTTCTTTTCCCTACCATTTTCAAATGTCTTTTGGGGAGCAGACTATCATTGCCAAATCAGCATATTCATGCATTTATTAGCACATAATGTCAAGCACATTATAGGAGAATGTCTGTAATGTATTTTAACCTAAAATTTGATCTAGCAGCATTTTTATTTATGTGACCTCAGAGAGGCAACAGGCATGAGGACTCCATGTTCTGATGGTCCCTGGGCATGAGGACTTTATGTTCTGATGGTCCCTCGGTAGCAGAGACACATACTTACCTGCCTGCATCCATTCTGTTGAACATATTAGTGTTTCACAGTTTTGTGAGCTTCTTCACCTATTTAATATTTCTACAGTACCTGCATGTTTATTGATATAATCCAACAGTTTTCTTTCCAATTTACATAAAAAATCACAGTCTCATGTAAGAAAGGGAAATATATTAGAAATGGATTAAAAATATAAATACAACATTTGCCACCACAAGGCTTATCACAAAATCTTCATAAACAAGCATCTGTCTCAAGAACTGGAAGTACCATTATCAGATGCACTTTTATTTTCAGATATTTTAATAGACTAAAAAACAGCAATGCAAGGACTAGGACTGCCAAAAGTTTTCATACTAATGTGAAGCAATGTTTTCTATTTTTAGGAAGTGCCGGAGTCTCAGAATCAAGAATTTATAGAGAATCCAGGGGGCGTGGTAGCAATGAGCCCCACATAAAGCGCCCAATGAATGCCTTCATGGTGTGGGCTAAAGATGAACGAAGGAAAATCCTTCAAGCCTTTCCTGACATGCACAACTCCAACATCAGCAAGATACTGGGTAAGAAAAGTATTAAAGCTTAAGTGATGTTTGGAATAAATGTACAGTTCTGTTTTCTGCACTTATTGAAAGATAATGGGTTTGTAGTCCAGGCAGCTCATGGTATCTGATTCACTAAAAAAGAGCAACATCATTGAGCCTTTTCTTCTGATGATGAAGCCTTCCATGTCTGCTGAGAAATGTGACGAATTACTATAGCTAATTCAGTAGTGTGCCTCTATGCTAATTGTTGTAATATTTTCTCTTCTTTAAAAATCTAGCTATATTTGTACTAAGATTAGGAAAACAAGTTTCATATGAGCCACTCGATATGGTTTGACCATATTTATCCTTTTCATTTTTCAACTCTAGAATTAATCATGTGGTGTGGGTGAGGGTGGATATAGCGATGATGTTTGTTCTAGAACTAGAACTGAAAACCAGTTTAGATTGTCAGGACACAAGAAGATACAGTGTGCATTTCTACACTGCCATTGCAGCTTGCAGCTTATCAGATAATAAAGCACATATTTACCCGACATATGTAGACAGTGAAGCACACAGAGAAGATGGGTGAGAGGAAAAGGTTACTGACTATAAAGAGACCTATTAGAGACCAATCTGAGACCCAGAAAAAAGGAAGGGAAGATTCCATTTCTTCTGTGCCGTTCTTTTGAAATCATCATGACCAGTATTGATGTCATCATCTTCTTCATCTTCATCTTCAAGTACTGTGGTTGCTAGGTACTAGACAACCTAAGCAAATTTCAATTATTCCCTGCCTTCTAAGAACTAAATAGTAAAAGTAGAGTAGGAACACCTGACTCTGTCAACAAATTTTAGCTTTCACAAATAAGGAACAAAATCTGTCTAAGTTATTAAAACTTTATTAAAACCCATAATACACTTGGAATTACATGTAGTTAATGTAGTATCCCTTTTGATTTTTTACATTAAGGAATTGATCATCTAACAGTACTTACTAAACACATACATGTGTTTTTCTGATCCCATACCTTTAACAATGGCGATAGATGCCAACCAGTCTACAACATGCATTTGTAAAGAGACCAGAATGAACACAAAATGTTAAGCACTTAAAATTTTGTTTCAGTTTTCATCTAAAATGATTTTTAAATTTTTAGATGAATGTTATCTCAAAAATGAGGATAAAAGCTTTAGATGTACATAGAAAATGTGAATATTTATGCATAAAAATATAGATCCACACATAATAAAAAAAACCAGAACTGATCAAAAGGAAATGCATATTTTTTGCATCTCTTACCATCTCTGATCCATTAGTCCTTTATTCTGCCTTCCATATGGAATTTTTCATTCTTTAAAAAACTCCATACCTGTGTTATTTGGAAAAGCTCTAGAAAAGAATAAAATGCTTTATGTAACCATATTTCATATGTCAACATATTGATCATTTTCAAATTAGAAATCCCAAAATGTAAAAATAAAACTAATTAAATACTAAGGTTGTTTAAATTGTCTTTCTATCACTCAACTCACATGCCAAAATACTAAAAAGGTGATCATCACTGATTAAAACTTTATCTGAAGTATAAGGGAAATATCAGTTTTGATGTGAAATATTTTAGGAAAATTTAGCAAAAACCTTTATGGGAAAGAGATGACTAGCTAAAAAACTCCTTGCTGGTTTAAAGGAGAAGATATTACAATAACCACATGATTATATTATAATAGGCTGCATGAAAGAGAGTGATGTCTAATTTCAGACTTTTCAATGAAATTGTATTAATTAAAGATATAATGGGGAAAGAAACAGTGAGGCGTTTGGGACCTCAATATTTGGTCATAGCTTCAAATAAATAAATGATCTTCAAATACCCACAAGATTATTCTGAATGGTCCATTTCATATAAAAGTACAAAGAAAGCTCGATGTTTTCCTCTTTACTGATTATTTTGGATAACAGCCTCCGACAGCATGCCACTAATTCATTCTGCTTAAAACAGGCGCTTGAGCTGGGTTGACATTTTACGTAGTCTCTGGGGATCCTAGTTGACATTTTAAAGGGCTTCTAAGCATTTTATAATACCCTAAAATCTGGTTTTAATAAGCTATTCCGCTGAAATTGTTAACATAAGGAATCACCTTTTACTGTTTGGCACTAGATCAGGGGATGGGGGACATCTTTTTCTGATTAGATATACAGTAGTTGGAGTAAAATGTGCAAATTCATTACAGACCCCACGGAGATGACAATGATGCTCAGCTCAAACTCTTCATTTTTATTGTATTGCCAGATTTAGGAAGGAAAAGGGCACTTTCAAGACCATTTTTTCCCCCTTATTTTGAACATCGAATATTTTTTATTGAATCTTCCTCTTTATCATCAGGAGAAATGCCCCAATGTCTTTCTCTATTTTTAATTGTAAAAGGCCCGTCTTTGGACAACAGGGAACTTACTCCCTGTACATAGTCCAGGGTAAGCAATGAGCCACACCCAGGTCAAGTAAATATTTTCATCCCTTTTGGAAATAGCTAAAGTGCTTTCCTGCCATTCTCATGTAGCAAGTTTCAGGGGTTTATTACATCACAGCTACATACAGTGGTCGTTGTGCATGCGAAGCCATTGAAACCAAAACCTAACTTGTCATTTGGTTAATCCTATTCAAAAGTTATTATCAAATGAAAACTGCATTTGCCACCCAACTGAAACACTAGTCGGCCCTGTCATAGAACTGAGTGGTTAGCCATTTTGCCCCAGTCAGTGCTTAGGTGGTGAATTCTTAATTTTAAAAGGACGAGTATCTATGATATGGCCGTATTTTAAAATGTAGCTCAGGATTCCATGATTTTTCCAGAGAAATTACAGTATCAAATGTTTAAATATTTTGTGATTCTGGGTCATGTCAGGTTTAGAAGCCAACTTCTCTGAAAATTTATTCATCTTTTATTATAGTGGGATGGATGGATGGATGGATGGATGGATGGATGGAATTTCATATATCAATATATATATATATATATATATATATATATATATATATATATATATACACATACATGCACATATATGTCCCTTTTTCTCTGCATTTTACCCAGACCAAATTTCTTTCTTTTTTTTTTTAAATTTCATTGGGGAATAGCCATGGCCATTGGTTCCACACTGCTTTCATGCTACAATGGCATAGTTGACTCTTTTAAGAGAGGGCACAGCTCACATTATCCCATGCAAGGATCAAACCCGGCAACCTTGGTATTATCAGCACAATGCTCTAACCAACCGAGCTAACCGGTCACCCCCCTAGACCAAATGTCTTTGAGCTCTTCTCATCCCCCTTCCAACTACAAAGGCCCCAACCATCCCATTCCTCCTCCGTAGAATGCTCTTCTCTTTCTGATTCCTATAGGAGTCATTTCTGCAGCAAAGGCTTCCTCACCTGCAGAAGATTATTCCCACATCCTTATCATATGTTCTCATAGCATCCTGTACTTTCCACAATTATAATTAAAATACTAAATTTTGTAATTAGCTGTTTAATGTATTTCTTCTCCACTGCAATATAAGCTCCAAGAAGATAAGAACCATAATGATTCACCACTGCATGTCCCGTAATTAATACAGCATCATGCACATAGTGGAAATCTAAAGAGAGTTCTCATATTCCAAGGCAGGTTACTCTGAGGCATGAACATTTCCTTTTCTTGAAGCAACTTATTCTTTTTGAGCTTACAGACTTAGGGGAGAGTCATTGGCAATTCCTATTGTAAATGAGAATGCTAGTTTCTTTGTTTTATGTGGTGATAAAGATAGCTAGTGACTTTGGGGGGAGGGGAATTATAGCAATTGGTTCTACTTGTAATTTTTCACCCTCCCACTGCCCCCCCCACAAAGTTTAAGTCAATCATCCTTGATCCATTTTTCAGTGTATTCCTATAATTATTTAGTAAATTATTTCTGGTAATCTCACTTTTTCACTCCTTAATAATGAGGTTCAAAATTCTGGTATACTCTACATACTTGTAAGAAGCTCCACAAGAAGAATTTTTTCCAGTTCGGTGATATTATATAGTTTCGCCTGTGTTTATATTTGCCTTGAGGACAACATAATCATTTTCAAATACCTCTAGAGAATAATGTTGGGCCATAAGGAATTTAAAATTGTACCTACAAATGATATGGTCTGAACAACTGAAAATGTTGGACAGTGCTATTTAAACACAAATTCTGTTGTAAAATCATATTGGCTGTCTAGACTGGAAAAATCTGTTTATAAATCTTCATAACACCTATGTGGATATACCCTCCCAGGTAACATCTGTTCCAATAGGAAACAGTTCTAAGGGAAGAGGTATTATCCCTTTCACTGCCTTCCTTTAATAAATCTAATAGCCCATGTTGAGGAATTCTCTGCAAGAACTGTTCATCAGTAAGCCTTTTGCATTTGAGATATGGAGTTATGGCTGCGTAATGATCCCATTCGAAAGCTTTTAAGATCTTGCTTAGATGACTCTGGAAGGCAGGTAAAAACAGCAGTGCTAGGACATAGTGGGTAGGATCTCCTCATTTATTTGGATCTTTTTGCATTTCAGTAAGGTTGAGCTGAATTCTTACAGATAAACACACTCTATCTGCAAACAGACAGATTTGTTTTTCATATGCTTAATAAAAAACAAACATTATCACTACTACTTCTTTTATTACTACACATAACCATACTGATAGAATCTAAGCTTTCAATCACACCTATATTGAGAATCAGCATGCACTATTTTTAATTAAGCTTCAAACAGTTGTTTTTTGCAATCCTAGTTGAATCCACAGTGAAAAGTGAAAAGAAGGGGAAATTCAATTTGGGCTAACATTAATGTGTACTATGTTATAAGAAGTGACATCTTTAGATATTATTGAAAGTGTTTATTAAGAGACAATTATTATTACATATTATTAATGTAATTACATATTATTAATGTAATTCTGACCACTGCTCAAGGGTATCTAGTAGGTGGGCATTGACATAGTAGGTATATAAAGACATGCATTGTGGCGCACTTTCAATTCCATCACACCTGATTCTGAGTCACAGATCCACAATTTAATAGCTGTGTGACCTTGGATAGGTTACTTCATCTATTTCAACTTCAATTTTCTCAACCTATTGAAATAGGTATACATTCTATCTTACTGGATTTTGGGGAAAGGTAAAATGAGGCAATTTATGTCAGGTTTTTAGCCAGTATCTAGCACAGAGTAGTTACCCAGGGCATGGTCATTAATATAATATTTTATAATTAAAATTTTAAGGTAATAAATTTTTAAACTGTAATCATTCATGCAAGTATACTTAAACATTTTGAGAAGAATGAGAATTATGTATAATAAAAGTTAGAAACCTTTGTAATAAGTAATGTACTCCCATATAAAAAAACTCAATAACTATAGATAATTAGCCTCAGATTCAAAATATGTAATGAGTTTTTGCATAACTTTTTAGTTCACACTTGAATTATTTCATTTTCTAATGGAGAAATGCAAGGTAAAGCCATTAAATTACCCGTGAGTTCTTAAGTACATAGTATACAAGTCTGGCTAAATTGTTCATTCTATCCAGAAAAAAGTACATATGTATATCCATCCCAGGGTTTGCACTTTTGGGTGCACAGTTTCTTTGAGGACACAACTACCAACACCTCCGTTCTTGTGGCACCTCATCTCTTGAGTCAAAGCTCACTAATCAAAAAATATCTTTTATGTAGTTCTGGGTTTCGGCAGCATTTTGACTTTGCGATTGTCCTTGTTCTCAGGTGTATATTTTTGAGATCCTTAGCAGCTTTGCAAAGGAACCCTAACCATCTTTTCCTCGTAGGATCTCGCTGGAAAGCTATGACAAACCTAGAGAAACAGCCATATTACGAGGAGCAAGCCCGCCTCAGCAAGCAGCACCTGGAGAAGTACCCTGACTACAAATACAAACCGAGGCCAAAGCGCACCTGCTTGGTGGACGGCAAAAAGCTACGCATCGGCGAGTACAAGGCAATCATGCGGAACAGGCGGCAGGAAATGCGGCAGTACTTCAATGTCGGGTGCGGACCTCTCTGTCTTTTTTCCCCAGGGCACACTCCTGCCACACTGAGCGGGACGTGAAACGTACTTGTTTAGTTGGCAGAAAACCTGAACACACTGTATGTTCAAAGAGCAAACTCTCCCCGCCACATGACCCTGGAAAAGAACCCAAGCTCCTAGAGCCAATCCAGCCCCTCACAACAATTTAAAACTTATTCGAGAACCATAAATATATTTTTACATAATCACCATTCTGTGGATAATATCCTGTAAAAATGTTATAAATGAAACCATGATAGTTTTATTTTCATTTTCAATTTTCCTTCAGAGGCACAGTTCGCGAGCCGCAGTTTGCTGACTCCTGGCGGCTCTTCTGTCTCAAAAGTTTGCCGATTCCTGTTCTAGAACAGTGATGGGTCTAACATGAGCGTTGTTAGCGGCTGGTTTGAAAATCTAGTATCTGAAAATAAATAATTTTGAAGTGTGTGAATAAAAACGTAGAAGCATCACGGGTTCCTTTCCTCACTGGCTTTCATTACTCCCAAGGCTTCCCAGAGATAAATGCTACAACAACTAACAATTTAGTTTACATAATACAATATAAAAATTAATCAAAAAGAAAGAAACACTTGTTTCTGAATATAAAGGGCCTTCTGGGCTTTCAAGGCCCATGTGTGGCCTTTGTAGCTCACACACAGTAGGGCTTCTCCTTAGGGCACAGCAAGGTGTGAATGGGAAAGCTCTCTTCTGGATTAAGAATGCGTCTCTCAGGATGTTTCACCCTGATTCCTACAGCAAGGCTGTTGACCTTGTCTCAGTCTGCTGCCTAGAACCTCAGTGCTTCTTCAAAATTTTCTCAAAAAACATAGAAATCAAGTTGTTCGTGCTTAGAACAGAAGTTAGTAAGATCCTGAGAGCTTCTTACAATAAATACTGCTTTAAAAATGGTCACAGGATACCTTAGAAAAAGACCTCAAATCTGCCGCAATCCCCTCCATCCTCTTGACAGTGTCACCCTGCTCTGTCCAGGGGTCTGTGATTAAACCCCCGTGCATGGCTCTTCTCAAAGCTGAGAATGGAACCCAACACTTCTTGGGGATAACATATGAGAGCTCTAATACTTTAGGGCTTTTCCATTATAATTGAATGGCCCTTTCAGTTTAATTCCTTTTTGAAAAATGTTTCTGCATGTTATAATGAAGGAAAAATGAACTTGGAGTCAAGGACTTGGGTTCTTTGGCTTAATCGTTTTGCACCTCAGTTTTGTTTTTTCATAAAATAGTAACAAAACAGAATTATGTTAAGAATCAAATGGATAACATATCCATCTTGTAATCTATAAAGCACTTACGGAAGTAAGGCATTGGAATCAAAGTAGTATACAGATTTTTTGTGTGTGGTTTTTTTTTTGTTTTTTTTTTAGCTGAGCCATCCTGCCACCTGTTGGCACTCAGTGGCAGCTCAGCTTGGGCCGGGAATCAAACCGCTGTTGCTCAGAACTCAAACTCTTGAGCGAGCTCTTAACCGACTGAGCCACTCGGCCGGCCCTAGTATACAATTTTTAAAATGTTGGGCGATAGGGTGAAAATCACTGCCTTAGAGTTGGACAAACTGAGCAAATTAATTATGTAGTAAGGCCCCCATCTAAATCTTCACTCACCATGGACTCTTTTTGGGAATTTCTCTGTGACAGGCAACAAGCACAGATCCCCATCGCTACTGCTGGTGTTGTGTATCCTGGCGCCATCACCATGGCAGGAATGCCCTCCCCTCATCTGCCCTCAGAGCACTCGAGCGTGTCTAGCAGCCCGGAGCCCGGCATGCCTGTCATCCAGAGCACTTATGGGGTGAAAGGAGAGGAGCCACATATCAAAGAAGAGATACAGGCCGAGGACATCAACGGAGAAATTTATGATGAGTACGATGAGGAAGAGGATGATGCAGACGTAGATTATGGGAGTGACAGTGAAAACCATATCGCAGGACAAGCCAACTGATAAGGGTCAAAAGATGGTTGTGACCTTAGGACTTAAAGAAGCCCTAGCTGGTTCATCCTTACCAGTGGCCAAGCACATTAACTTTCTCATACACTGACTGTTACTTTAACTGTTAGTCTTAAATAGTTGGGACATCAGCTGACTAATAGACCTCAGCCTCAAAAGGCTTCGAAAGGAAAAAAAAAATACAACAAGCAAACAACAATATCAACAGCAAGAGATTGAAATAAGCTATGGGTAAAATAATGCCAGTAATTCAGCTGCTACATCCAAGCACTGAAGTCTTACCCGTCAACTTTTTTTTTTAAATAAACTTTATGGCTGTTTGTTCTACAATGTTCTAGAAATTCTCACTCAGGTACACAGTGCCAACAAGTGGCTTGTGAATGTGTTTTGTTGTTTTGTGCTACAATTTTTAAAAAGAAATTAAGTTTTGTTTTGTTTGGGGGGGGGGGGTTCCGGGTTTTTTTCCTTTTCTTTTCCTTCCTTTCCTATTTTTTTCCTTTCTTTCTACTTCCTTCTTTTTTTATTTTTCTGCAATGCACCTGACAGAAAAAAGAAAGATGAATTTCTCTTCACTTCTCTCCACCTTCTCCATCTCTATACTTTAAAGATGGAAGTCTGTGCATGGGGGGGAAGAGGGAAAAAGAGCCTGTTTTTAACTTCCTTGCAATTCCATCACAAAATAAGCAATTATTTTCTTTAGAGGACTTTCTTTATTGCACACCACACTACATCTTTGAGCAAGTGCCAAATTTGTACTGAAGTGTTGACCCAGTTCATTTCTTCCCTTTCCTTTTTCCTGTTCCTTCCTAAGTTAGAACAGTGTTATATCTTAGACAATCCCTTGAAAAACCTGAAATACCAGCAGCTGGTGAGATTTTACTTTTTTTTCTTTAATGGAAACTGTAGGTGCTGTTCTCAGGTGAAAAGAGAGAGAGAGAGAGAGAGAGACATAAGAAATTTAGAGAAAAATATTTTCTGATCTTGGATTTTTGTGTGTATGTATGTGTGTGATTATGGTACTAATAGGAATCACGTTGGACCGTTGTGAGTTAAACCCACATCTGGGGATGAAATCCCACATCCTCCTAAGTGACTGGTCTGGAAGCAACCTTGACCTTGATTTTGCACTTCAAATGACAACCATTTTAGGGCTCAGAAATTATATTTTTAAATTTCTAATACGATTGTTATTGGATGGATCAGGTGGCCCTGTGTAGTAGACGTGTGCATGTATAATATGGAAGCTACTAGCAAACTGCTCCCAGGTGTCCTTTCTCCCTGGTCAGTTGGTTTCACTATTTTTTGCTACTTAATGATTTATGTTGGTTTTCCCTGTTGATAACTTCAAGCAAAACAATTGTTTTCCTTGAATGTATTTGGCCATTTTCCAGAAATACCGAATTAACTTACTTCTTCAACATTGCATTCTCTCTTGATCAGGAAATGGAACTGATGATTTTATAAGGCATTTTTTTCATCTCTCCATTAAATGAGGTGGAGGCCATTTGCATTTCGGAATTGTGGGCCATGTGCATTTCTGGCCATAAAAAGCAGGTTTTGATTAAAAATCATCGCAGCCCAACAAAATGGAGTCTAGCTGAACCCAGCAACCCTTGCCACTACTCTTCCCTTGCTGTAAGATGTATCCACTGGAGTCCAACTTTGGGTTCCAGTAGAGTATGTGCCCAGAGCAACAACTGATGATGACGAGACTGCTTATTTATATTTCACCAGCCAAATGCCAAGGTAGTGGTAGGGCTTGTACAAATAAATGCACAATCGTTTAAAGTCAATTGCCATTATTTGTGCTGTAGCATCAGACAGTAAATACTCCAACCAGTAGCTTGGATGTGCTATGGTTTTAACTCCAGTCATCCTTTTCCTCTATCACCCCCCCCAAACCTGACTGTAAAATTGATTTTTACATATAAATAAGAAAACAAATCCTTTTTATTTTTCTCTCTCTCAAAAGACTTGCTCTGGGGTTTTGCTTGGAGGAGCTGATCATATCCTGCATGTCAGAGATTTTGTTTTGTTTGTTTTTCTGTTTGTTTTTGATGACTGTATTTTCATTGGAACTGCCTCTTTTTGCTAGTGTTGTAATAATGATGATGATAAAATAATAATAATAATAATAGTAATAATAATAATAATGGTCAGCTGTTCCCAGATTAGTAAGTTATGTATAATTTATTTCTCCCTTTCTATTTTATTCTGCTCTGATTTGGAAGTGCAGCCAATAAGCTGTTAGATATTTAAAATGAATTTCCATCTCCAAAAAATATATATATATATGCACACACGTATGTGTATATATGTATACACATATGTGTATATGTATGTGTGTGTGTATACACACACACACACACACACACACATATTCACCCCACACAATTTTACTTCTCCTTCCATAAATTTTCTCCTTTTTAAAAATTTGGCCCCAACAATGTCAAGTTCTGGTGTTTAATACAAAAGACTGAATACGAGGGTCATGCTCAATCTTAATTAACTTATGCTTTCATCAGTCATTTTAGTTATTTAATTGCCACAGTCATCTAGAGCCAATTTTGTTTTTGTTTTCGTTTTGTTTTTAAGCACTCTGGGTAAGAAAAAAATGGACACTTGTTTTTATATCGTTATTATGTACAATGTGAAAACAGATTTTAAAAAATTTGTTCCTCTGTCTTCATTAAGAAATTCTTTCTGATTTATGTGGGTTCACCTCTCACGTTTGCTGGATACTTATTTTACACCATGTTATAAAGATACTGGTTTTCATTTCATGACTTTGGGCTACAAGAATACTTTGTTTTAGCTCCAGGTAGATGCCGCTGAAGGCATGCATGGCTGAAACCAATTCTAACACATCAGTGAAATGACAAAACACTTCTGTTTGGTCTTCTTTTGTTTGTTTTTTATTTTGGTTTTATTTGAAGGGGAAAACAAAATTGTTAATGGTGACCTTTAACTGCTGATATTCAGAAGTTAATTTTATTTAGTTAAGTTTATATCACAGAGACTAAACTGTTAATGGACTGAAACAAAAAGCAAGTTCAGTGCCCTGCATTATATTCTCTTGTTCTGACATCTAACTCACTGATGTCACACATTTTTTTTTTGCCTTAGTTTTCCCCAAAAGAAAACAAAACAAAAATATTAATGTTAAAAGTGCTTTGAAGTTATTTGATAAAGGTGCTATGAATAGCAACATACTGTGTTAACACATTGCCTTTTTGGCATTTGATTGGTTTGTAATTTTTGTAAAGGATCCTAAAACCTTGTATTCTTTTTCTGTGCCCCATGATGACCAAAAAATGTAAGAGGAAATGAAAGAAAGATCAAACTAAAATGAACATAAAATGAACATAAACCTTCCTCCTCTTTCCTTTTCCTGCCTCTCATCCCTCTCCCTCTCCCTCTCTCTCCCTCTCTCCCTCTCTCCCTCTCTCTCTCTCTCTCTCTCTCTCTCTCTCTCTCTCTCTCCTCTCTCTCCCCAATACTGAGGAATAATCTTGCCAGAACTCTGCTTTTTATGGCTGTCATAATCAGTTCCTTTAAAAATAGTCATGTTTTAATATGAATCTAAGAATGTTACTGGAGAAAAATAAGTTAAAGTTGCTCATTTGTAAGTTACTAATAATTTGGCTAGTTATTACAATTGGATAAAATATAAAAGCATTCTTCAGTACAATATACCTAAATTAGTTTAGCCAATTTTTAACATTTATTTGGCATCTGCAGTTAAGAGTTAACCATGTATAAAATCCTTCCCAGAGAACATAATCATTATGGAAACCAAATCTTCTTATAAGGAACAATATAAAAGAGTTTTCTTTGATGAAATTAGTTCATAGATTTGATTTTTGGAGTAGACCTTTACATTAATTCTTTTAAAGAAAATTATTTTTAACTATTTAATGGTCCAATTTCAGATACTTTCTTAATCCAGAAGTTTTTACTGTTCCCAGAAAAACCTCTTCTATCACATTTAAAACATCAAAAATAATTTCACTTTCAATCATTCTAATGAGTAAATTATTGAAATGTAAAAAAAAACTGTGTTTTTACAAACAGGTTTCTAAGATATTTGTCTATCAAGTTAATAGTAAAATAAAAATATGGGGTCTGCAAGGAAAAATATGAAGCCCACTTAAAGTGGTTCAGAGATCTCTTTGTCTTATAGGGCATAGTTTTCATTTAGACAGGCTTTTACAGTATTTAATTTTAAAATTTCCTGTAACTATTAGTTTCCCAGGTTGAAGATGATGTTGTGTTGAGTTTTCTACTGATTGATTCCTGTCCTCCCCAGTGTTTCTGTCACTGGTTCACTAAAACAGTATTTATATAGCTCCGCTGGCTCTAAAGCTCTTAGTCCTTCTAACATTTCGGATTTTATGAGTATAAATGGGAAAAAGTAGAAAAGAGACAATCAAATGCCTGGAGCTTAAAACAAAGTATGTGCAACCTACCATCTCACTTGAAATTTAATAAAATAAATAATTATGTAAATATAACATAGAGTTATAGATTTATATTTTGTTCATAACACATAGTGTAATATAAGTTGTATATTTTCATGTTTTTGGTTTTATGTTATCATTCATGCCACAATAAAAATAAAACAGGAGTTTATGTACTCTTAAAAAAAAAAAAAGATGTGGGTTGCCACCAACCTGTTTTTTTTTTTGTTGGTTTTTTTTTGTTTTGTTTTTTTGTTTTTGCATTCTCTTTTTTCAGTATTACTGCCATGCAAGGCACCAATAAAAACAGCAAATGTGTTCTTTACCTATTATACTGTGTTTCTTTTCACAAGTCTTGTTATGAAAGGTGTCATCATTAGCTTTATTATGAAAAGAGCTAAAGTATGGAAAATAATTTAATTTTGTTTTCAACATAAATACCCGTCCCCCACCCCCTTCCCGAAGTTGATGTTGAACTGAAAACTAAGGGTTTAATTTTTAAAGGGGAAATTCTGAGAAGGATAGCCAGACTTTGCTATAATGCATCTCATCAGACAGGGAGGTAGCTTCACTATAATGTTGAAAGATACCCCTCAGATATGTAATTGAGTCTAATACATTTAAAAACCCTACAGCTGAAAGCACCCTTACCGTAGTTTTCCCAAGCTTGACATTGTTATTGGGGTGAGGTTTCTACACTTCAGAATTG